TCGTGCTAATTTATCTAGTAACAACCACCGTTCGAATTACCGACGCTACCTGCGTCAAGCCTCGTATCTCGATCTGACCTTTCCGAGGCTCGAGCGCTACCTCATGACGTAGCTCCTCAGTTGTGGCGTTTGTTAAAACGGAATTCCGTGCTCTTATCCCTGAACTTTCGGGGTCGGGTGCTTTTCGCAGACGGGAGAAAACGTTTCCGAGCGCGTCGGCGACGGTACGAGGAGAGGACGTCTCGTCGATTCGGCGCGAAGTCGTTTCTTCCTGACGAACTCGTAAAAGCGAGACCGAGGATCGTAAACCCGCCCCAGGGAAGGTCGGGACGGGGTCGCTGAATATTCACGAATTCGCCGACCTACACGCTGCGCTACACACCGGTGAGAGAAAGGGGTGGCCCACGTGTGCGCGCGTGTCTTACATATTCCGTATCCACGTAGGTGGGCCTCTCCCGACGCTTCTGTTGCGAGCGTAGCTGAACTTTGCAAAGCGTCAGAACTCTCGGGGATACCGAGTCCAAGAGAAATAGCTAGTTTCGAATTTAATCGTTTCCTCATTCATATATTAGCTTGGTTTCGCACTTGCGAAGTGCTTTAGCGGACTCCCTGATTGTGCTGCGAAGTTCGATTAATGGCCTGCCACTCGTTTGCAATGTTAAGAAGAAACGGTGTTTCTGAGTGACGATACGCGAAACGACGCTATCGATGCGCGACGGATAAAGATAGAGATCTAAAATAATTATTATTCGAGGAGGTATTAAAATCTAGACAAGTTTATATTTGGAAACTGGAAGGCTGCTTTATTTTTGGAGAAATTGCAGATCAATATCCTGAAATTCGATCATTTTTGTGTAATATATTTAACAATAGCCCGCGATAAAAAATGAATAATTGAAACGGAATATTTTTAATTTGAAAATCGAGAAACGTAAAACGTATTATATTTTAAAAACCGCTGTTACATTCAAGATCAAAGAAAGGATTCATTGGAGAGATAAAAAGGCTCTTCTGAAAACTCTGGGATTAAAAAAAAAGCGTATAAGTCACTTCAACGTTCTCTGATGTAAAAATATCAAGCAATTACGGGGTTTTCCCCCTTGAAACGCGGATAAGGAAATTATGCAACACGTAGTAAAATTTAGATAATTAGAATTTCACAAAAGTGCGATCTGCATACATCAGCTCGCTCGTCATTCACGCGCGAATCAAGATGGCACGTCCGACATTTATTCAGGGAACTGTTTTTCATCCTCTCCCGGACTCAAGCCGGTACCTATCTCGCATCCATTATCACACTCCCGTTCCGGCCCACCAATTAATCACGAAAAGGAAATAAGATTTACCAACAGTCGTAGCTGAAAAATAATTATCTCGGCCGCATTATCTCGCACGCCAGCTTTATCACAAACCACCCTTTGCCTATCCTGTAATCTATGCACGTAACATCCCTACATATGCGCCATTTATCGGCACGACATCCTTCTCCTTCTGCCCCGTTTTCAAATGTGTCTTATATTTGCAATTGCAAAAGACTAGAATCAAGTTAGAGTAAAAAAACTATATGACGTGACAGTTTATGTAAAATAACCACACTGAGAAAAATCTTCATTGGATAAACCAATTAAATAGTGTTTCCGATTACGTTTTCCGATTAAATTATGGATACATCCGATGAAATTTATTGCGGAGAAGCGTTGAGTTAATATATTAATAATATATTAATCGAATAAATTGTTCTAATCACTGTGCACGCGTCAAACCAGCATGCGGTGTGTACTGAAATTGTCGAGCGTGTTCCTGACGCCGATTGTATAATAAGTAGATTATTAATAAATTCGTACGCTCTGCTCGGAATAATTTTAAAATCGTTTAGTTCTTAAATTTAATTCTCGATCGAGCTCACAAAGTTTCAGGATCTCTCCAATTACCCACCTCTTAGCTTACCGCATTCCCCCAAAGTTTGCGTGTAAAATTTCCTTTTTTAATTTTCACAAAATTAAAGGAATTTGGCGCCCAATAAATGAAATGGTCGATTAAGCCACCGAATTTGTAACTCGTATGTTACGAGCCCTGACGGCTGCGGACCCGGCCGCGTCGGGTGAGAGGTATCTGCTCGGACAAAATATATTGCAAAATGAGGTTGTGAGAAATATAAATGCGTCAAGAATATTTTGGTCTCGGTAACAGAAGTCCTTTCTGTGGGTGCAATTTTTGATTTCTACTGTTATTTCCTCATAGAGTCCTCTCGCGGGATGGAGTATAAATCGCCGATAAACAGCGAAAGCCGCAAAACCGAAACGATATCGTACGTCTCTCCATCGAGGAGATCCGTAGGAGCGGCAATGTATTATCGTTCTGTTTTGCCAGTCCTGAATAAGGTCAGGCGGGTCGCAGGTCAGGAGCACCGAGAGATAACGCGCGTATATACGATATATGAATGCAGAATGCAAATTACCGTTAACCCCATTGGTCACTTTTTTGCGCGTTCGCTTATGCGCAAGAGAGCCGAGAGCGACTCGTCGCGCTTTGCGGTCGCCGGCTCCGCGTTCCGAGGCTGAGTACGGATTGGGTCCACGTCGCCGATAACGAACTGCAGCATTGCTAGCTCCGTGTTTCGCATTTTACCCCGTCCTGCCTCGTCCTGCCTCGTCGCCGAGGCGCGTCGTCTACGAGTCGCCTCGCGTCCCTTTCTCCGGATCCTGTTTGCTTTAAACTTGCAAGCGTCGATAATCGAGTTGCGCGCTCGTTCATTGTTAACGTATTATTCTTCACGCGCTGATGAAACGGAAACAAACGGACGATGGAGCGTCACTCGGATGTTATAGTTCGATTAATGCGCGGCGTTAAACGGACGGCGATCAACGAACGCGGACGATTATGAAATGCGCAAAGAGACGCGGCGAGATATTCACAGGAGTGTGATCGATAATATTTGTTATTAAAGGAAAGAGAAACAATGGTTCCATAGAAAGCGAAACACACACACACAAAATTTACGTATGTACATTTCCGTGATCGTAATATCACGTTATTATAAACGTTTGGCATAGTTTGTTAATAATTAAAATTAAAATTGCTGTTAATAGCTACAATAGTAAAAGATTAGTAGGGGCAATATGAGCCGTCACCTGAACGAAGGTGACAAATTATATATTAGTAAGTTCTAGTGTAAAATATATTATGAGATTGGTAACAATGTGATTCAGATTCAATATTTCGGTCTACACATTGACCCTCTTCAGCGGTACAATATCAAATATACAATTGGTCCCAGTTTCTTAAAAACGATGAGTCAAACACCATAATGATAAATAATTTATCACCTTCGTCCAGGTGACGGCTCACATTGCCCCTACTAACTTTTACTATTTCAACTATTAACGCCAATTTTAATTTTAATATTGTATTACTGCAGCCTTGTTCAGATTTATTAATTAACCAGTTAAAGCAAAATTATTGTATAAAACGGCATTTCGCTAGCGGCACCGTTTGTCAAATTATATTTTGGCTATTAAACTTTCATAGGTATCCACTGGCATTGCTTATGGCATTTGCATTTGATTGCGATCTTAATCATCAAGTTATTAATGTATGATTACGGATCGATCGACACAATAGTCCGGACCGTGCTCTGATTATTTCATGGCGGTCGAAGAACGGATTTTCGGGCGGAACTGAATAACATTACTGGCGGTTTATCGCGCTGCTTAACGGCCGTGCGCATAATGAGCGGGAAGTGAATCGTGAATCGCGATGTCGTACGCGATGCGTATTACCCGGAACGTATGGCGCGTGGGGTTTTATAAAATCGGGCGCTTCACGAGTGCTGTTACATCGCCGCCGGTATATCGTCCATGGGTATGCGTAAGTCATAAAATAATGGACGGCGGACGCGCGTGATTAATTTCTCCCACGGCGACAGAAATCGTCTAAAGCGGAAATGCATTTAGGAGCAATTTATCGCCGAATATATACGTGACACGTACTTACATAAACGTGACAAACGCGCTATTTGCATTCCACCCGCTTTCGTTCCCGTAAATTCTGCCGGCGCCCGTGATAATTTATAAATCCGCGGAAATAACTTATTTTAACTGACGGCGCGCTCGTCAAAATTGTAACAGCGATATAATTAAATTTATCGCGACGTTTATTACTTTGTAAATGCTGGATAAATAGTACCGTAATAATACAGTTTCTGAAAATACGGAGAAATATTTTCGTCCGGACCTCATTAAACGTAACACACACTGTTATTACGCCTCTCGAAAGATCTATTTATAATTTGTCTTTAAAATTGGCATGTAATAGACGTATCTAAATATACGAGAAAATGTACAACTCCTCTACCTTTGTCTGTTAATTATTAAGCAAGCTAAAATCACTGACTTAATCGTATTGATTTAATTCATTCACGATGATAAATTATTAAAATCAAATTCACAATTGAAGGATTTAGGCTGCACTGACCTACATATGTCGTAAAATCGATCCATCGAGATAAATCACGTAATTTAATATTCCCCTTAACCAGCCCAGCACATACGCGGTAAATCCTGAATCTCTAAAGGAAATAACGATTACACCATTGTCAAATAATATCCAGTTACCATAAAGAAATTAGCCAGTCTAGCGGAGAGAAACGCAGGTCGCAATTGCATTAATAATGCCGTGCGTAAACACGCGGTATCCAAAATGTCCAAGTGTGTCTTATTCATAGGGCGAGCGGCAAAATTAACGCCGCTCCGCTTTTAACGAAGTTGCCCGAGATCGATGAATGTCACCAAGCGAAACGATACGCTCGACAGGAGAACGCGAGCGCGGAGGCTGCGCTCGATCTCGAGATGCAAGGCTGCGCCGAACCCGAAAGTTCGCTCGCTGGAAACGGACGATAAAGCGGCGCGGTTGCGGCCGTTCCGCTTGCGGAGCGGCGGCGACGAGCCGCCCGATAATGCCGCCCGATAAAGTAAATGATAGAACCAACGCCATTGTTTCAGGCATGCTATGCGTCAGAGCACCGGAAACGGAGGTCCCTGCAGAAGATGACGGGGTTAAGTAGATAGAGGGAGCAGACCAGGCCCGCCATCGACGACGGACGATTCCCTCGGCTCTTCTCTTTCTCACCGCAGCGCACAATGCTCTGCCATCGAGCTCTTGTCGTTCTCTTCGCTGTCAACGTGCCAATCGGTGAGTGACTTCAATTCTACCCTCCTCCCCCTCCCTAAGAAGCGGTCTGTCGAAATGAGTCGATGGAATTTTCGAAAAACCTAATGCAAGTGGGTGTTAACAATTTCTCGAGGGAAAAACCGCTGACCAAAATCTTGTACACCAATGCCCACCAATGCCCAGTGGGCATTACTTTATCTTATTATCTTATTTTATAATGCCCCAGCAAGGCCTAATGTTCAAACTAATGCCAAGAAAAATGCCTAGTAATGTCCAGTAATGCCGTAAATCTGTACACTACAATGCCCTCAACGGTTTACCCCTCGGAATTTCTCCTAAAGATACACGTGAGGCGTAGTGCCACTCGCATTTCTGACAGTGAAGAATTTCACTCTTATTTTTTAAGGGGATGCTGGAGTGATTCTGCACTTTTGCACCTTTCTAACCTAAAAACT